ACCCTGGGGATCAGCATCTATTCCAAACCGGTCATTCTCTAAACCAAACCGATAGGAAACAAATTGTGCTCCATCCCCTTGTCGAAATTACACGAGGCTGCTCCCAAAATAATCCTTCAGATCCAGCTCCAGATTTTTAAGGCTGGAGATTTACAGCAAGAAGTTTCAGACTCTTCTTTTTAAATCAGAGATGCACAGTGCTTGGTAAGCTGAAATATTATTTTAAGACAACCTGGTTTTCTTGCTCGATTCAGAACAAGGACCATGTGGTTCTGCCAGGTTTATTAGAGTTGAAAAGGAGGAAAGAAAACTGCAAGAACCCCAGATCCTCCGGACAGTGTTGGCAAGGTTCAAATTTAGAAATAAGGCACGGTAGATTTTGGATAGACCAAACTTTGGACACCCCCCCACCCCACACCCACGCCATCTTCCACAGTTTTTATGAAGAGTGAAAATCACCTGAGAACATCTTATGCATGTTTGTGCCTCAGATGCAAGGTTGATAAACCACAAGTTTGTACATGACAGCTGTCACCGAAGTGGTTTCATCAAGGTGATACACTGCTTGCTTGGTCCAGCAGGAGAATTTTAGGTAACTGGGAACTTCACTGTTAAAAGCTATATAGATGCTTAGGAATTTGGGTATATGTAAAATGGGTATTTTAAAGATTGTCACTTTGGGTTTGGGTTCAAAAAACCTTTTGAGCAGGTAGTTCAACAAAACCGGTCTTTTGAGTTGGTAAAGTCACAATGAGCATTGCAGGTTTTGAGTCCTAGCTTGTTTACATGTCTGAGGTTTAGGCTTTTAGGGAAACCCTGCTCCCTAATGCTCCCAGCACCCTCCCCCCCCCCCAAAAAAAAAAACCAAGACCACCAAAGGAGATGAGGAATTCCTTCTGCTTACGGGCATGGCTAAGCGTTAGGAAAGTCCACGGTACAGAACAGGCTGCTCGAGCACCCCCCGCCCTGCAGCACGGTTATCCCACCCCGCAGCAATGCTGCTCTGCTTGCACAGCCCCAGGACTCCTACAGCAGCAGCTGAGACAGCAAATAACACAGTTGATTTATCACTGGGACCAGACCAAAGCTACCTGCATCAGACATGAAGCTGGAAACCAAAATCCCCATGCAGAGCCACCTCGGGGCCAGAAACATTTTCCACCCAGAGCTGAAACAGTTCCCCTGCGCTGGGGATTTTGTAATTGAAATGTTTTGGCTAAGACTTTTTCCTTTAGAGCCCACCTTGGCCAAGCCCTGGGGGTCCCACTGGCCCTGGGGACAGCTCAGTCACAGGCTCTGGGGCAGCTCAGTAGCTGATGAACCTGATGCTGCTCAGCCCAGCTTTAAGGGAAGCATTCCTTCCCCAGCACCAGCACTGTGCAGAAACCATACCAATGAATGCGTCTTTTCCTTTTTATTGAAGGGGAAGGTAAGATCTAAAGCAGCTTAATATCTTCTGGGTTTTTCCCTTCAAATTATGCAGCAATTATTACTGAAACCTCAGCAAACAAGCAGCTTCCCCAGGGCCTCCACCTCATGCACTTTCTTCCAGGGGGGAAGAAATTCCAATTTGGGAATTGGCTTTGCTGCTGAACAAGCCACAGTCTGTGGGTTTGCTTTGCAAATCTCAGAAGCCAATTCATTGCCAAGAAGACTTATGTTCCAAAACTCTTCAGCGGCTCCTAGAGGAGTGCAAGCTCCCGATGCAGATGTCAGCTCCTGCCAGGCTGCAAAAGCCCTCCCAGAAGTATTTTCTTCCTCCGGTGTGATGACAAAGGGCTTTATCCGACTCAGACGGTGAGGTGCTGAGCCTGCCAAGTGTTCAGGCAACGCTAGAAGGCACCATTCCTCCAGGATTCAGCCTGCCCGGCTGCCACCGGGCAGAGCCACCGACACCTTCCTGCTGCTCAGCCCCAGCTGGAGCTCGATGCCCAACTACACCGCTAAGGAAAGCCACAAGCATGAGCCCATAAGGACAAACATCAGAATATTTTATTTCCTTGAGCTCCAGTGATACAACTGTAGCAGCATTTCACAAATGAACTCCTGCATTGTTAAATATACATTTAAGGAAACACATTAAATTCCAAGGCAGGCAAAAAAAAAATAAAAATTAAGAACTGCGGACAAAGTTACTCATCCTCCCCCTTAAATAATATGTGCGTTCGTTGCAGACAAAGCAGCAGTACATGTTTCACATACCAGGTTAAAATAAAACTTCAGACTTGCAGCAAAACTTTCAAATGCAAACCTAGAAGAGATGAGGAGCAACGGCTTTGGCGAAGGGGCTTTCACCTGGGGATCCAGCGCTACATACAGCAAGAAACATTTTAAACATATGAGAGACCTCTGCAATTATCAGACCAACTGGGCACGTTCCCAGCTGCAGAATGGGAAGCCTGGTTTCATCGGATACCCGGAGTAATCCACAAAGAGCTCTGTAAACATACAAGTGCACCTCACCCACTCTCAGCTCAAGGCAGAGCAAGTTCCCAAGCAAACCTGGTTGATAATTATTTGTGCTCAACACCCAGGAGGTTCTCAGACATGCTCTGGCTAGCAAGAGAAGATGGGAAGCTACCTGCCCCTCCAAGGACGAGGATGCTCAGCTGGCCAAAACCACCACCGCCCTCTCCCAATTGCTCCACAGCCACGGGCTCTGTCCCTGGGCGAGCCCAGCCTTTGTGTCCCAGCTACTCACAGGTTACTCCAAATGGGAGATGAAGTTCTCCCAGAATAGCCAAGGTGAAGTCAGAAATATTAAAGCTAAGCAGCCAGAGGAAGAGGACGATGCACTGGGGACGCTTGCCGAGTATGACTCCTAGCTACTGAAGTCGCACTGAAAGCTGTCGCCTTCCACATTACACTACAGTTTGCCTCTTTAATATTAAAGTGACCCAAAATTTTCATCTAAGTGTTTATGCCCATCTCAGATGGAAATATTTTGTGCAGTTCTGGTTCCTGTTAGTGACTCTCCAGTTTCTAAAGTCAATAGAAAAAAAGACATCCAAGGCTAACAGACAGCTCAAAGACCTCCAGCCTCGAGGATCTCCGCGTGCAGAGAGAGCTGAGGGCTTTCTCCAGCTGCACCACCGAGACCAGTGGCCTCAAGCTGACAATTTTTACACTTTAAGACACAGGGTGCATTTGACACAGTGATTCATTCAGTTTAAGTGACAAAAAGGCATCATGAAGCTGATTTCATCATTATCAGTGGTACAAGGTTAATTTACACAAGGCACACGCAACACCACCCACAGAGGTGCTCTTTGATTTACCTTCTCCAAATAACAGAGCAAAAGAATTAGCTCTGCTTAGTGTCATCCTACGCAACGTGCCTGGCTGACGGGACACCTCCAGTGACACATGCCGGCCCAAAAGCTGCCCATCGCACCGCAGCTCCCCCCGCGGACCCCCCAGTGCCGCCAGCAAGCTGAAGCCCCATCTCCACGGCAGAGCACCAGCCACCCCATGCACAGCGGTAAGGAGATGGTGCCAGCTCGAGACGTCAGCTGCTGCTGGCAGGGCAAGTTCCAGGGAGGATGGAGATTTGCCAGTTGGTGTCCTGTAACTTATATTTATGCATCCAGGCCCCTAAAATCCCTCACTAGCTACTGATGACCCAAGTAACTGGCTAAACAATGCATTTGGGTTTGGAAGAGCCATTCCCAGGAGGAGCGGGGCATGCAGCAAGGCTGCCACTCTTCCCAAGCAGGCACAGCTTTGCTGGCCACCGCAAAGCTCAGCATCCCGCAACAGCAAAACCAAACCTACAGCACAAGGAACCTCTCTAGGTTGTTTTGGTTTTTTCCCCCCTCCCCAAGAGAGATGAGCAGCAGCTTATTGTCAAACATAGGCTGGGAGGTGGCTTCGGTTCTGCAGGGAAGACTTTCCCAAGGCTTTTGCCACCCGCTGCTGGTTTGGTGCTGCCAGGATGCGACCCTTGTGACTCAGTAGCTGAACTGTAAACAGAAGCTCCGGTCCCCCCCCATGGAGCAGAGCAGCTCCGTGCACCCCGCTTTGATCCCACCAGCTATCGAGATGTGCACAGTCACTCCTGTAAGCGGGATCGGGGCCTTAGTGAAAAAAGTATGAATAAATTAAAGGAGGATGAAGGCTGTTCAGTTATCACACACCATAAAAATGTACCTTTAAAAAAGTGTTTGCAAAAAAAATACTACTCTTTAAAATCTACATTTTTTTTAAGAGTCTCCTTGTAAAAAAAATTGAATTGATAGTTTCCCCCTCTCCCCCCCAAAGTGACCAGGTATTTTAGGGTGCCCCTCCTTGGTGTCCTACAGTTTCCCAAAATGGTGTCCCCTTTCCTTCTTCCCCCCATCCCAGCAAGTCTCAAGGGGCTACCAAGTACCTTAACACCCACACAAGAACCCAGGCCACCGTTTGGGGGCTAAATGCTGTACAATTAAAGCCAATCTGGCTATAAAAATAAATGCTTTTATGTCTTCCTTACACAGGATGGAAGAATTTAGCCCTTTTTAAACAGCTCAGCATCTAGCTGTCATACTATTTAAAAAACAACCCAAATGCCTACGTAGAAAAATAAAGGATAAACATTATCCATCTTTTATATATTTATATAAAAAGTAAGTTCTGTGACAGGATATTTTGCTTCTTCACCGTAAAAAAAAAAAAACCAGCATAGGCTGTATAGCCTAAGCCTTCTGGTGAGGAGTAAACTACATCTTCAAACTTATTCAGAGAAAAATATCAATTAGGAATTTCACTTTTCCAAAATAAAGTTATTAAATATATATATTATAAGTCTTTATAAACTATTTCACTGTTTAAGCAAGGAGGGGAACACGTGACTGAGGACCACTTTAATCCCTCCTTCCCTGGGGAGGGAGAAGTGGACATCAGCTGTGAATCCACCAGAAACCTGGCATGTTCCTTAGCATAGACCCAGAGCTCGCTGGCTTGCAGGCACACACAGACACACACAGAGGGGACACGGAGGCTTGAATTCACTCTCGCTAAGTCCTTCACAAGGATGTTCTTTTTTCCAGCTTGTGCTTTGTGAGAAAGTACTTGAAGAACTCATACACGGACCAGGCAATGGCCGTTGAAGGCATCTGGTAAATGACACGTGCCTGCACCCCTCTGAAATACCCCGAAATGCCCCCCAGCTGATAGACAGTCTTGAAGGCATTCACCATGCCCGAGAGATGTCCACTGATGTTCACAGAGCTCAAGGCCATGTTCTCTTGGGTGTTGAGCAGGGTCTTGCAGACATCCAGAGGAGTGGTGGCAGCGGCAGCCACGGCCCCCGCGATGGCACCGGAGACGATGTGGGACCGAGGGTTATACTCCCGGTGCGGGTTGATCTGCTCCTGCATGAATTCGTAGGTGATGAAGTGAATGGCCTGGAAGGGGACGTTCATGGTGAGCTGGGTGGTGTAGCTGCGGTAGAAGGCACCGAACCCCTCCGTCTTCTGCACTGTCCTTATGCATGCCAGGACGGACTTGTAGGGGGAGTTGAACATCTGCATCCGCTGCTTCACCACTGGTCCAGGCAATGGCCACAGGGGGTGAAGGCAGGGCGGACAGCACCAGGCAGGACAAACACAGGGAGATAAAGACTTATTAGGCATATGTTTCTTGGTCACTACAACACCCAGACTAAACCCTGCTTCAAGTCCCAACCATCCTGACCCAACCTCCCCTTCCAAGTCCAAACTGCTAGGACATAAAACAGGCATTTCTGTAGTGATGAGCTTCTTGTCTACAGGCTTTCACCAAAAGGCTGCATACATCCTCTGCTTCCCCCAAACTGCCCTGCGCCCCCCAACAAACTCAATGCAACAAGTGAAGGAAGCCGGTCAGAGCTCAGCCTCAGTTCAACAGCTCTCCACTTCCATGGGCTAATGCACTCCTCTCCTCAAGCTTTAGTTGTAGCTAGAAAGGCATTAATGCAGACTGATAAGGACCCTCGGATGCATCTGTAAGGATGCAGAGCTGTTGTGTGGAAACACTGACATACCAAGAGGACAAGGGCAGAAAGGTGATTAAATAACTGCACATCGCCTGGGAAGGGTAACAGACCCCACCTACAGTCCCAAGTCCTGAAATCGAACAACTTCCATTGACTTAAGCAAAAGGCCAAATGAATTCATTTAATCAGGATATGATTAAAAGGATTGGAAACACTAGAGATTTTTCCTTCAGAAAAACCTGACTTTAGGCCAACTCAGAAGTACATCACATTAACATAAGAGCTGGCGGTCCAGCTAATTGTCTTCATTTTAGCTGCATTTTACTGTTAGTCCTCTTAATGCCAAACCCGGGAAGGCTACGCAACAGTCCCACCGGCTGCTGCACTTGTCTAACAACATGACTGAGCTCAGTTTTGTTTGGGTGGTCCAAAGCTTCAGAAAAACCACCACCACTTCAGTAAAGATGCACTAGTAGAGTAGTAACAGCATCGTGTTAGTAAAGGTGACACCAGATTTCCTGGGAAGTCACGATACACCATGCAGATGCTGCGCAACCCCTTGGCAAGCAAGGTAAAACAGCTAGGCAGGATTTATCCCTCTACACTGGCCTGTCCGAGCTCATTAAAAGCTGGGCAGAGTCACTAAAGCAAAGGGCTTAAGCTGCTGAGATGGCGCAGGGTGTCCTCGGTGCCTTCCCAGGCTAACAGGGGTGCAGCGCTTCCCAGTAGCGCAGGGCATTACCTTCAGCAGAAAAAATCAGCAGGATTCATCACTGCGTCGTGGAGTAGCGTGGCCACGCTCCCAGCTATACCTGCAAGACACAAGAGCATCCCTCAGGAAAAAAAAAGACTCAGAAGCCAGGGGCTTGCTCAGGCACTGCCATCCGCAGAGGCAGCAGGCGATATTGCAGGCAACCCACACACCACCAAGCACCCGGGTACCGCAGCCTGGGGAGCTGCAGCCCAGCTCCACAGCAAGCCCAAGGAAGCACTCAGCAACACAACTCATGCCCAGTGGAGAAAATCCCAGCCTGAGCAGCTTGACAGAAACCAGGATCAACTCACAGGATCACAGCCGTTGCCTTTGCTATTCCCTACAACTCGCAAGGCTTTGCCTGCGCAAGCCACCACCAGCTTCACTCAGCTTCACTCAGCCTGCACTGGACTGAGATGAGCAATGTTTAGAACTGGCTTAGCGCATCCATAATTATGCATTTTCATCCGTTTACTCAGTCTCATTTTAAACACTAATTGCACAGATTCTGCAAGCATCCAGCCAGCCATTAATGATTCTGCAGTTAGCTCTAGGATGGGCCTCTTGAGCCACACCTTCTCCTTTGATGTAGGTTTCCATCTCAAATTCTCTCTTGCCCAAATGACTTTTGGTCATTTCTCATTAACATAGCGCTTCAGTTTTCCTGCTGGTACTGAAAGCCTGTAGCTACTTGAAAGGCAAACACAGGAAGCACGTTACTAACAAAAAAAACCCCAGCAAGCCAGAAAGATATTATATACCCTTAACTAGTTGCTTGAGTCAGTTCAAGTGACTGCCATGGCAGATTCCTACTGTCACATCATGTCAAGGACCAGGCAGAAATGTCTTCTGCACAAACCCTTTTGTAACACACCTGGCTGCTCAATTGGAGGGCTTCTGCTGTTACAGCAGTATTGGTGGACCTAAAAGCAAAAGCCTTCCTGGTAGAAGCAAAATCTTCAACAAAGCATGTGAGCACACAGAGGATGCAGTGCACTTTACCATGCTGGAGCTCCAAGGGAGACATCTGGAACAACCTGTACTTCAAACTTCAAGAGGCCAAAACCAGCCTGCGATTGCATCCAAACACGTCTTGTCCAATGTATTGATTACTTGTGCTAGAATAATTTGAGATTAAAGAGTAGTGCAGGAATCTAGATCAGACTGAGACTTTGGAGGGTGCACAACAGTGCCATCAGGGGTTTCAGGCCAGGAAGGGCTTCTCTGCTCTGCTGCTGACAGCCAGCCCAGCCATCTCTACTCTCTGGAAGAGAGATCTAGCAAGCAATCAGTAGTCCTAAGACAGGGCACAGGTTTCAGAGGAGCATGGTGACCAGCACGAAGCACTCAACTAGAGGGCAGGTTGCCACACTTGCCTACCTGACTTCCCCCTGCCTGTCCAGCACTCCCAAAGCGGGTGCCGAGACCTGCAAGCCTGGGGTTACGTTTGCATCTTGCATCCTCCCATACGGGTATTTACAGTGTCAGTCTGAATGCAGGCTGCCTACAGCAGATCTTCCAGGAGCAGAGCACAGTGAAGGATGCCAGGCTAAGTGGGTGAAGCAAGCAAGGGACAGGCTGTTAACTGCAAGCTTTTTTTTGTGCAAAAAAACCCAAAAATACCATTGGCCAAGTGGCTGTTTCCTCCATGCTGGATAGTATCACTTAGAGACTTTTTCATTTTTTCATAGCAGGCAAAGTACATTGCGTGGGCAGGGCCAGCCCCCAGCATGGTGACATTAATCCCACGTAAAGGCCTCCAGAAACCCTCTGTAAGGACAATCTTCTTCAAAGCTTCATACACGGTCCTGTACTGGGCTTTGGGGTCCGGCTGCAAGCTCTGCATCCTTGTCTGCAACAAAGCACATGAAGGGAGAGGCCTCGGTTACCTGTCTTTAATGCAACAAGCACAAGCCATAGAGTTAAAGAGCTACAAGACTTCCAAGATCATTACAGGGGTCAATAATTTATTCCCCAGTTGCACCCACACCAGGGCCACAGCACTATTTATCCACGCTTTGCCTGCCCGACCAGCGAGATTAACTCCACGCTCCCATTGCAACACCAAAACGTTACGAGGCTGCTCAGACAAGCGCTCAGCGGAGGGAAGCGTAACCTCTGCTCTTGTTTATGGATGGAAAGTACAGGGAATTAAGCTAGCGCAGTTGTTCAAAAGACGTGGTGAAGAAATACAGTTAGGTCTTTAATTGCCTCTTACTTACAACAGTCCCGGCTCTCTGCCCCAGCTTGTTTCTCCTGCAGTTGCTCAGCTGCTTTTGACACCTGGCATACAGAGTTAGCCTGCTCGATTGGGAAATAGGTTTCCTAGAAGGGCAAGCTGAGAAAATGGGGTACCTGCAGTAACCCCCCCATAGAAGCAAAGACAGGTAAAGGCCACCCCCTTCTCCTGCACAGCGACCCAACGAAGACCCGGTGGGTGACTATGTCCCGCAGCAGCCTGGGGAGCACGGAGCCACCCTTCGCCCCGTCTTCCCTCCCAGCTCCTGATGCCCTGCAGCCACCAGCTGCCTGAGCCAGGAGGTTTCATCTGCATTTTTGTTCATCAGTCCTCAATGGGCTTTTCTTCCACAGATTTTTGAAGCCAGCTAAGCTTCTGGCATCCAAAGCATCCTACTAAACTCAGTGCCATCACTTAATTAGGCACCATGGGAAAAATTCCTTCTTGTAGTTTGTTTTAGGCTTCTACAGCCTGATGCCATCACACACCAGCAATGCTCAAAGCCCTTGCAATGATGATGCCAACCTGCGATGGGTGTTTGCAGGGCACGGACCCCAGCCACCTCCCACCAGCGACGGGACAGACACTGGCAGAGCTTAAACCTCTACAGGCATCCCAGCAAGACCAAGCAAATCTAGAGCATCAAGAGGCAAAGGGCTCTGCTACTCCTGCTGAGCAGCCCACAAGTCCTGCCGGTCTGCAACATGACCGATAGACCCCATCACACCAAAATCAGTCTGAAGGGATACAGCCTTTGGTGGCGGGCTCACACCTCGAAACACAAACACAGAAGGCTCCTGGGAAAGGGCATAGCCACAGGAGACGAGTGTTTAGCAACCTGCAACAGGCTCCATCAAATTAACGCTCTGTGAAGGAGAAGCTTGAGAAGTGCAATTAAAGAGGTCATTCAGGTTTGTCAGGAAGGATGCTTTCCACCCCGTGAGCTGGGACACCCCATCTTCAGAATAAAGTTTCCCCCGAATGATTTGGCAGCATGCAGACACCAGCACAGCCCTCGCAGGCAAAGCAGTGTGAACGGCTCCATCCTTGGCAGAGATTCAACAACCCTTGAAAAAAGCAAGGATTGCCCATACCACCTCCATGCTTCCTCATGGGGCCACAGCCCCTCAAGCTTATCGATTCACTTAATTAGCCAGGAGGCAATACTACAGCTAAGTTTTCAGGCAAGATTAAGCCAATAAAAATGTTTCAGGTTTGACCCTTCGATTCCCCAAACCACTCTAGTTACTGGAAACCGAAGACCACTTTCCATACACTTTGAGACCAAGGAAGAGATCAGAGCTGAATTCAGGACTTTAACGCCGTAAAATAAAACCAAGCTACGAAAGCAGCAAAGCAATACGTGAGGCTAAGCCAAACAAATTATTGCATTTGTAGTAAATATTCTAAAAAAATGCACGGGAATTATATTTGCAAAGTGAC